TGTCCTTCCCTCTATCCCTCCCCATGTCCTTCCCTCTATCCCTCCCCATGTCCTTTCCTCTATCCCTCCCCATGTCCTTTCCTCTATCCCTCCCCATGTCCTTCCCTCTATCCCTCCCTCTTTCCCTCCCCGTGTCCTTCCCTCTATCTCTCCCCTCATCCCTCTCTCTATCCCTCCCCCTATGCCTCCTCCTATCCTTCCCTGTATCCTTCCCCGTATCCCTCTTTCCCTCCCCGTGTGCTTCCCTCTATCCCTCCCCATGTCCTTCCCTCTATCCCTCCCCATGTCCTTCCCTCTATCCCTCCCCATGTCCTTCCCTCTATCCCTCCCCATGTCCTTCCCTCTATCCCTCCCCATGTCCTTCCCTCTATCCCTCCCCCTATCCCTCCCCTTATCCTTCCCTCTATCCCTCCCCTTATCCTTCCCTCTATCCCTCCCCTTATCCTTCCCTCTATTTCTCTCCGTATCCTTCCCTCTATTTCTCTCCGTCTCCCTCCCTCTATCCCGCCAATGGGGCGGGATGATTGTGCTGACGGCATCGACCTTATATAGCCACATATCCATATTAGGTAAATGTTATCTACCAAATATAGACATGTAGCCATATAAGGTCAATGACATCACAGCATCCCGCCCCTTTACTTACACCAAGCTGCAGGTAAGGAATTCCCCCACCCACAGCTGATTGGACAGCACGGAGGGAGCTTACTTCTGCGTTTTTGGAGGAGCGCCTTCTGGGTTCAGAGGAGCAGAGGTTCAGGCCGGGTTCGGTCCAAACCTGAGCTCATCCCTATCTGTTGCCAGTTGCATTGCTCTATGTTGCGCTGCATTGCTCTATGTTGCGCTGCATTGCTCTATGTTAAGGACACCAGGAGAGGGGCGGAGTTTTGTAGTCCTATCTTGTTTTGGTTGTCCTGATACAGTGCAATGAATGAGCGTTGTCACCCAGGGACAGGAAGGATGTTACCGGCAGGATCACCCCGTGGAAATGGAGGATAAAAGTCAGAAAACATGCTGTGATTCATTACATTTTGGGGTTTTGGGTTTAGATCCACTTCAAACTG